AATATGCTGATAAGTTTTTCTCCATCAGGTGTAACAGCAAGATCTAAAACCTTCGGCATCCGCAGCCCTCTCCACGATTTGATCTCCTTACCCTCACAGTCCCACATGTATATGCCTTTTTCAGGGTCTGAGCTGCCACAGACGAATCGCTTAGAATCAGGAAACCAAGCACATGAGCTGACAATGAAACCATCACCGCCATATGTGTGCTTGCATGTACCTGTTTCCACGTCCCAGAGCTTGAGCACTTCCATGTTCCCGCAGGTTAGCAACATTGTATCATCAGGGCTCCATGCTACAAAAGAAACTGGCTTTTTGTGGCTCTGCAGCACATGTCTCTGGGTCAGGTTCCCATCATCCAGTACCTGAAAGTAATAATCAATCCAACTCAGGAAATAATGGTCAATCAAAATCTTGTAGCCTTGAGAATATGAGCTAATAGTTATGTTGTACACGATCATTAACCCTCATCCCAGAAACTTGCTGTATCCCCGTGAAATCAAAGCGTTTTTAAAAGCAAAAGTGCCAAAAAAAATCCGTCGGTTTGAAATTAAAAATATAAAAAATCTATGAATTTAGTACAATAAAAATGCAACTAACTTTAGCATCTAATATACATTAACGCTGATATTAATCCAACTCCAAAAAAGTTGATGATTCAAAGAAAGCGACGGATTCTCTTTGAATCATTTTGTGCTATAGTATTTGAAGCGCAAACTTCTCTAAAGCGCATGGCTTCACCCATGAAGCGGTAACCCCTTGTTTCGCATTGTTTCATCACTTTAGGCGGCAAGCCGAGAAAGTGATGGCTTTTAAAAGCACTGCTTGTAAGTTTATAGGTTTTACAGAGATAAAGTGTCACACAGGCCACCGTCAATTCAAATAGCAATTTATCAGAATCTAAGAGAAATTATCCATGGTTTAAGACAAAATATCTTGACCAAGCCATATGTACACAATCACCAAGGATACTTATAAACCAAATGCTTAGTTACTGTCAGAAATATCAAAACTAGATGTCATGTCTCCCAAAATCAGTTCGGATCAGTCACATGACTGTGACATACGTCTAACAATGTTACAAAGTACATGCACTAAGAAAAGGTTGAGAAGTCTACTTATTCCTGATGAAGAAGGTCTTCATGGAATCATAAGCGCAATGTTATTGTTTCTGCTGAAAATTAATGTTAATGATTATTATTCTTATAATAATAACAACGACAAGATCTAAAATAATTTAGCCTTATTGATGTCTTTCCAATGTCTTTGGGGTCCATCCCTTTACGAAGCACATGACGGTCAACATTCTTCGACCCATTTGTATTGGCTGCTAAATTTGTCCTTAACAATTTCCGTTAAGCTAACCCGGCCAACCAATTTATGGTAGAGGGACGGGATATAGGAACCATCCAACACTATTTTCAGCCTTAGTGCCTAGGATTGTTATATGGCACAAAAGGAATATAATCATACATAAATCAAAGTTTAGCTTCATAATGCTGGTAATGCTTGATCACTTTAAGATTGATCGTAAGACTTATCTCTGCCTTTCCACTGGCCACATGACTGCTGTCAAGCTTTACTTGAAAATTAGAATATAACGGGAACACTTAGCTCTAACACCTCAAAATTTCAGGACAACAGATTGACCAGCTATGAGTGCACCACCAACAACAACAGCAAACCCAGTATGTTCCCAACAGGTGGGGTCTGGGGAGGGTAGTCTATACGCAGACCTTACCCCTACCTAATGCAGGTAGAGAGGTTGTTTCCAATAGACCCTCGGCTCAGGAAGGGTAAGAAAAAGAAGAGGAAAGCAAGGAAGGAAGAAAGAAGGAAGAGAAAAGAAAAAGGGAGAGATAAAGGATAAGTAGAACTACCTCCGGTCCAGTTTATGCGAACCTATTTCCTTTTTGGTCCGTTCCAAAAAGAATGACCCCTTTCTAAATTTGGAAACAATTTTGCTTAAACTTACAATTCTATCCTTAATGAGAAGCTTTTATAACCACACAAATATTCTGGGCCCCTTTTTGAATTGTTTAGGACCACAAATTTCAAAAGTCTTCATTTTTTTCTTAAACTCCGTGCCCAATCAAACAGGTTCACATAAATTGGAACGAAGGGAGTGCCAAATAATAGCAACAGGGAATACAATACCTGAGGCAAACAAAACCACATAACGTAATAAAAATCTAAGAATATGAAGGGACGTGCGTTTTTTAAGATTATCGGTGAACAACTAAAAACTGCTCACTAACCTTCTACCTTAATCCTCGACCTCCACACCCTCCTATCAAGGGTCATGTCCTCAGTGAGCTGAAGCAACGCCATGTCCTGTCTAATCACCTCTCCCCAGTACTTCTTAGGCCTACCTCGACCTCTTCTCAAACTCTCCATGGCCAACCTCTCACACCTCCTAACAGGAGCATCAATGCTTCTTCTCTTAACATGTCCAAACCATCTCAGCCTCGACTCCCGCATCTTGTCCTCCACGGATGCTACTCCCACTCTAGCTTCATTCTTAATCTTATCTCTCCCGGTACACCCACACATCCATCTCAACATCCTCATCTCTGCTACTTTCATCTTCTGCACGTGGGAGTTCTTGACTGGCCAACACTCAGCCCCATACAGCATAGCCGATCGAACCACCACTCTATAAAACTTACTCTTAAGTCTTGGCGGCACATTCTTATCACATAAAACACCGGAAGTGAGCCTTCACTTCATCCATCCCGCTCCGATGCGATGTGCGACATCTTCGTCAATCTCCCCGTTACCTTGGATAATAGACCCGAGATACTTAAAACTCGCTCTCTTGGGGATAACTTGAGCATCAAGCTTTACCTCTACGTCTGCTTCATGGGTCCCGTCACTGAATTTGCACTCCAAGTATTCTGTCTTGGTTCTACTCAGTTTGAAACCTTTAGACTCCAAGGTCTGTCTCCAAACCTCCAACCTGACGTTAACTCCGCTTCGCGTCTCGTCAATCAACACTATATCATCGGCAAATAGCATACACCAAGGCACCTCCCCTTGGATATGTCGCGACAGTACATCCATCGCCAAGGCAAATAAAAACGGGCTAAGAGTCGATCCCTGGTGCAACCCCATCACCACAGGGAAATGCTTTGAGTCACCACCCACAGTCTTTACCCGAGTCTTAGCATCATCATACATTTCCTTAATCACCCTGATGTACGCTAACGGAACGCCGCTAACCTCCAAACACCTCCACAGGACCTCCCTCGGGACTTTATCGTACGCTTTCTCAAGGTCAATAAACACCATATGCAAATCCCTCTTCCTCTCCATGTACTGCTCCACTAATCTCCTTACCAGATGAATCGCTTCCGTAGTCGAACGCCCCGACATGAATCCAAACTGATTCTCGGAAATAGACACGCACCTCCTCACCCTGGCCTCCACCACCCTCTCCCAAACCTTCATAATGTGACTCAACAGCTTGATACCCCTATAATTGTTGCAATTTTGGATATCACCCTTGTTCTTCTAAAGCGGAACCATCGTACTCCACCTCCATTCTTCGGGCATCTTCTTCGTCTTAAAAATAACATTAAACAGCCCAGTGAGCCACTCCAAACTTGCTCGCCCCGCGCTCTTCCAGAATTCCACCGGAATTTCGTCTGGCCCCGTCGCTCTGCCCCTGCACATCTTATGCATCGCCCCTTCCACCTCCTCTACCGTAATCCGTCTACAGTACCCAAAATCCCGCCGACTCTTGGAGTGCTCCAACTCACCCAACACAATGCGTCTATCCCCCTCCTCGTTCAACAGTTTATGGAAGTATGTCTCCCATCTTCTCCTAATAAGTGCCTCGTCCATCAATACTTTGCCATCCTCGTCTATGAGTGCACCAATGTAGCCCTATTTAGGCAACTTGAGAGCACGAATTTGCTGGAAAAGTTGCACTTTATTGCTTGACAAAATGTTAATTCTGCAACTTAGTCGTCGCAATTCAAGATACACCTATGAGATGCAATCAAC